CCGCCGCACCTCACTCGTCGGCGTCCGCGGGACCGGGTAAGCGGGGGCGGGGGCGGGGGCGGGTGGGGGAGCCGGGGCGGCAGCAGGGGCCCCTGGGCGTAAGAGCCGCGGCCGGCGAGCCCCCGGAGCCCGGCCCGACGCTCCCTCCGCGTTCCAGACGTTCCGCCGCCGCCCGCCACCCGCGACCCCGACGCAGACCCCGCCTGGACGCTGAGGTTCAGCCCGACGCCGCCCAAGTCTGCAGACGCACCGCGCGCTCCCGGCTCCCCGACGGCGTTCTCCACGGTTGCCGCCGCGCCCGGCCGCCCCGAGGACCACGCGCCTTTCCGCGCCGCGGCATCCCCGCCGCCGCCGGCCCTAGACCCCGCCCGGGAGGACCCCGACTCTCCGTCCGGCCGCCCCGAAAACCACGCGCCCCCGCAGTCCGCGCCCCCGTCGCTGAACGCCGCCCTTCTGCAGACCCTGGGGCACCTGGGCGACATCGTGGCCATCTTGGGTCCTCTGCGCGACCAGCTGCTGACCCTGAACCAGCACGTGGAGCAGCTGCGCGGCTCCTTCGACCAGACCGTGTCCCTGGCCGTCGGCTTCATCTTAGGCAGCGCCGCCGCCGAGCGAGGCGTCCTGGCCGACCCGCGAGATTGAGGCCTGGCTGCCCCGATCCTTTCTGTACGATGATCACGCTCCCTCCGCCCTGACCCCATCCTGCGGCCCTCCCCTACTCCAAGTCTAGGTATGTTCAATAAAAAGATTGTTTTTTTCCGATATAATCCTGTGAACGCGTGCACGTCTTGTGTTAGGAGCGGTCCCTACTAATACGGCCTGCAGAGATCAGGCCGAGGTTAAAATGTCTCCCTGTGGGGTGGGGGGTGGAGAGCCTGGGCTGCCTGTGCCTTGGGGCCTGCTGGGATGCTGACTAGGACCTCCCCTAGGAGGCAAGGGCACATCAAAATGGGAAGTTGGGGTCCTTGTAACACTGGCTTTCCCCGGAGCCTCCCAGACCCTGCCCGCCAGAACTTTGCACCAGCCCAGCCTTGGTGGGTGAGCATTTTCTGCCCTCCCTGGGAGCCCAACTGAGCGGGACCAGGGGGGAGATTGGACCCCCAGGGATAACAGCAGTGACCGGACTCTGCCCGAGCCACTGGGGGTGGGCATTAGAGGGTCTCCTCCACTGTGGGCACGCTCCCCCAGCCTAACCCGAGCTGCCGGTGGGGTGTGCTCAGAGCCCCACCCCGACCCCAGTCAGGCCTAAACCTTCCGGCTGGGTTCTGGAAAGCAGGACTCCTTAGAGGCAGCTGGGAACAGGACAGCCAACGCATACCAGGAGAGGGGCTCCTTTTGTCCCCCGGGGAAGTGACTGCTCTGGGTAGCCCAGGCTCTGAGACTTTGGCCGAGGACCACGTCCTGCAGATTTGAGAGGACTTGACCAAAACCGCCCTGGGAGCATTTTCCAAATAGTAACTGAGCCCCACCCTCTTTCGGTGGATCCAACGAATGAGAACTGGGTGGGCCGGGAGGTGCTCCTGCCCTGGGGAGATAAGGAAGTAGCCCGAGGCAACTGGCCAGCATAACAATACAGTTCCACCAAGTAGGGGTTCTTTTCAGGGACAAGTGATTGCCCCGAGGCCACAAAGCTAAATAGGTGTTCTTGCTGGCCCTGTGTTCCAAGGTTCCAGCAGTACCTGGGGCTTGGGGTGGGGGTGGGGGGTAAAGCCCCTCCCCCAAGCCCTTTTCAGGAATCTTTGGAGAAGAGACCCCAGTTGGACCCTTGGCCTGCAGAGATCCCCAAATGGGAGCAGGAGTGGTCTCCCAGACCCCAGAAGCTGAGCCCACCCGTGGGCTGTACATTTATGGCAGATCCTGGGGGCTCTGTGAGACCAAAACTGTAGAAGTGACTCAAAGCGTCACCTCACTTAAGACACACTTTCTTCTGCTTCACGATGCTGTCTATGCTATGATCCCTGAGAGTGTCTAGGCTGCCAAAAACCTGCTATGGGGTGATTCCAGCTTGCAGACCTACCCCCCCCCCCCCCAGGCCACCTCCCGCTGGAAGGTCAGAACCACAGGCTGGGGCAAATATGTCAGCCTCCCGGGGTGGGGGTGATGCCCGGGGACCCTCTGCCCTGGAGGAAGGCTATTTTGTGGCTGAAAGAAATCTGTGGAGGTCATCGAGTTTGAGAGGCTTGAAGGCACCTCGGAAAACCCATCTGCCTTACTGCCCACCTTACAAATGGGGTGCATCCCATGGCCTCCTCAGGCCCCTCGTGCTGGAGTAAGGAACCTGAACGTTCCTTCTCTGCCCATCTTCCGTGTCTTCCAGCCTGGGGAGAGGAGTTTGGCTGTTCACGTTTCCTGGGCTCAACCCAGAGCTGCTTGGCCGGGTTCTCTGTTCCTTAAACCTGCTGTTGTGGATGCCCCAAAGATTCCCAAATCCCTTCTCGCTGTCCCTGCCCTTCGTCCGGGGCTATATTGTGGGTCAGTGAGGTGAGGCGTGTCCGCACCCTGTTCTGTGATGTGCGTGGCTTCTGCTTGGTTCTGGGCACGTGGGACAGACACGCCACAGTGGCGATGCTTTCACTGGCCATTAGCAGTCCTTCCCTGGGCCTGACCACGAGCACAGGGCAGTGTCTCCAGCAGGGTCTCCTAGGACTACTCCTCAGATCAGTGCCCTCTCCCTAGGGGCCCCTGGAGGGCAGATTCATACCCTTCATTTCTTTTTTAATTTTAATTTTGTTGTTGTTGTTGTTGTTATTGAGAGAGAGAGAGAGAACATGAGCAGGGGAGGGGCAGAGAGAGAGCAAGAGAGAGAATCCCACGCAGGCTCAAGCTCACCCCATGCGGGGCTCAAACCCACGAAATCGTGACCTGAGCCAAAGCCGGATGCTCAACCGCCTGAGCCAGTGAGGTGCCCCTCTGTTTTTAGTCGGTTGAGGAATCTCCATACTGTTGTCCACATGGCTGCACTGTTTCACATTCCCGCCAACCGTGTACAGGGGTTCCAGTTTCTCTGCATCCTCGCTGACGCAGAGATTTTTTTTATAGTAGCCACCCGAGTGGCTGTGCAGTGTGCACCTTCAATGACCACCCTCACGGCGTGCATCCTGGCAGGTGCCAGAGAGCCTGTCGTGCCCAACTGCCTCCTCGCCTGGGCGACCCACCCGTCTAGTGTGGAGCTCCCCGTCGTGCCGTTCTGTTCTGTGCCGCCCTGCGGGCCAGGGATTGTGCACATCGCCTGTGTCCTTCCTCAGTTCAGCCGAAGCAGCTCTGTGGCTGAGGGCCCTCTCCGCCCAGCTGCGGGACCGCCCACCCAGCCCAGCCCAGCCCAGCACCTTTGCATTCTGGGGCTGGAACCGGAAGGAGGGTTTTCACATCTTGCTGATCCCTCAAGGACCAGTGCTGCCCAGGGCCTTGTGAAGTAACCTTTATCTGGTGATCAATCTGTTGCTTACAAGAGAACACCTCAATGTTAAATGCATTTTTCTACAAGTAGGCAAATAACCCTATCAATGTGCGGGGCAGCTTTTGTACTCCCGAATACCTCGACACTCCTTATCTGTAATTAGCTCTGGTACCTGCACTCTCTCTGATGTCCAGTTGTGCCTCAAAACTTAACAGAGGTTGGGGCACGTGGGTGGCTCAGTCAGTTAAGTGCCCTACTCTTGATTTCGGCTCAGATCCCGATCTCACAGTTCCTGAGATGGGAGTCCCACACTGGGGGAGCCTGCTTGGGATTCTTTCCCTCCCTCTGGCTCTCTGCCCCTCCCCTGCGCTCTCTCTCAAAAGAAACATTTTTTAAAAATTAACAGTTAAAAAACCAAACTTGGGGCGCCTGGGTGGCTCAGTCGGTCAAGTGTCCTACTCTTGATTTCGGCTCAGGTCATGATCTCACGGTGGCTGGGACTGAACCCCGAGTCGGGCTGAGCTGAGCTTGGAGTTTGCTTGGGATTCTGTCTTCTCTCTGCCCCTCCCTGACTCGTGCTTTCTTTCTCTCAAAATCAATCAATGAATAAAAATAAAAAACTTAACAGAGGTAAACTTCCTTTGTAACTTCATGTTTGAAATTGCTGTCTTCTCGGGCACATGCACCCCAATGTTTATAGCAGCGCTATCCACAATAGCCACAGTATGGAAAGAGCCCAAATGTCCATCGATGGATGAATGGATAAAGAACACGTGGCATATATATACAGTGGAGTATTACTCGGCGATCAAAAGGAATGAAATCTTGCCATTTGCGACTACGTGGATGGAACTAGGTATTATGCTGAGCAAAATTAGAGAAAGACAGATATGATATGACTTCACTCATATGAGGGCTTCAAGATAAAAAACAGGTGGACGTAAGGGAAGGGAAGCAAAAACAATATAAAAACAGGGAGGGGGACAAAACACAAGAGACTCCTAAACATGGAGAACAAACAGAGGGTTGCTGGTGGGGGTGTGGGAGGGGGGATGGGCTAAATGGGTAAGGGGCAGTAAGGAATCTACCCCTGAAATCATTGTTGCACTATATGTGAACTAACTTGGATGTAAATCAAAAAAAATAAATGAAAATTTTTTTAAAAAAATAAGAAATTGTCATCTTCTTGACTGTCATTGTCTGTCCGTCCAGATTCTTGTCTCTTCCACGCTTGTGTCCCTAATTACATTGATCTTTGGAACACTCTCAAAACCTGGTGCTTTTGGACTCTGCGGGGGCTCTGAAACCTGCATCTTTTTCCAAGTCAAAGCAAACAGGGCTGAGTGATCTTGACCTATCATTTTTTTCGCAAAGAACACCTATCTAAGATTTTGGTAAATTGGTTTATCCTTCATATGATTTATAATGAGATAAGGTAAACGCCTATATTCCTCCAGTCTTACCAGAGGCCTGATTCCCCCTTTCTTTCCAGGTTCAGTGTCTGTGATTTCTTCCTCCGGTTTTGCACCCTGGAGGCCGGCCACTTTGACCATAGTACTGGCTGCTACTTAACCTTCCACACCGGTTCTGCTGCTAAATTGTTCTGTTAGAAGCCATATTGTTCTGCAATATGGACTGGATGTTTGTGTCCCCAAAATGTGTATGTTGAAATTCTAACCCCCAATGTGATGGTGTCAGGAGACGGGGCCTTTGGGACAGGACTCAGTCCTGAGGACGGCGCCTCGTCGTTGAGATTGGTGCTTTCTGAGACAGGACAGCAAGGGAGTGGCCATCGGCTTGCCAGGAGGTGCCCTCACCAGAACCCCACCACACCACACCCCGATCTTGGACCTCCCGCTGCCAGAGAAAGAAATGTCCTTTTAAGCCCCCAGTCTGTGGTGCCCTGTTGCGGCGGCCAAGCTCCCCCAGACACTTGTCAAATCTCTCAAACAAGTGCATTCGAATCCAACAGTGAGTCCAATGTTCCAGAAGTCTCCCCTGCCAGCCCCTCACCTTGTTTCCCATGATGCCCAGCAAGGCAGCTCACTCTTCACATCCGTGTGCTAGCGCCTCCCAGAACGGTCATTTGCTATTTGAATCTAGAGAAATCCTAACATGTTTTTTGTTCTTCCGCTTCACCCATGGCTCTGCCAGCGTGAGACTCCCTTCCTCACCTGGCCCAGACCCAAGCCCTGCTGGGTCCCGGGCACGGACCCGAGTCTGACGGTCCTGGTCTTCTTCCCAGGCCTCACACGCAGATGCAGCCCGGCACCAGTAGGTGGGGAGTCTGCTTGGGGTGCAAGCATTGGCCATTTACCCACATGCGACAAGCCACTGTTCCTTCTAGCGGGTTTTCCTGCCTAT